CACAGGGTCTAATACACAGGGTCTAACACACACAGGGTCTAATACACACAGGGTCTAACACACACAGGGTCTAACACACAGGGTCTAATACACACAGGGTCTAATACACACAGGGTCTAACACACACAGGGTCTAACACACAGGGTCTAATACACACAGGGTCTAACACACACAGGGTCTAATACACACAGGGTCTAACACACACAGGGTCTAACACACAGGGTCTAATACACACAGGGTCTAACACACACAGGGTCTAACACACACAGGGTCTAACACACAGGGTCTAATACACACAGGGTCTAATACACACAGGGTCTAACACACACAGGGTCTAATACACACAGGGTCTAACACACACAGGGTCTAACACACAGGGTCTAACACACACAGGGTCTAACACACACAGGGTCTAATAACCAGGGTCTAACACACACAGGGTCTAACACACAGGGTCTAACACACAGGGTCTAATACACACAGGGTCTAACACACAGGGTCTAATACACACAGGGTCTAACACACACAGGGTCTAACACACACAGGGTCTAACACACAGGGTCTAATACACACAGGGTCTAACACACACAGGGTCTAATACACACAGGGTCTAACACACACAGGGTCTAACACACAGGGTCTAATACACACAGGGTCTAACACACACAGGGTCTAACACACACACAGGGTCTAACACACACAGGGTCTAACACACACAGGGTCTAACACACACAGGGTCTAATACACACAGGGTCTAATACACACAGGGTCTAACACACACAGGGTCTAATACACACAGGGTCTAACACACACAGGGTCAAACACACACAGGGTCTAACACACACAGGGTCTAATACACACAGGGTATAAACACACACAGGGTCTAACACACACAGGGTCAAACACACACAGGGTCTAACACACACAGCGTCAAACACACACAGGGTCTAACACACACAGGGTATAAACACACACAGGGTCTAACACACACAGGGTGTGTGTGGGCGGCACGGTGGTTGAGTGGATAGCACTCTCGCCTCTCAGCAAGAAGGTCCTGGGTTCAAATCCCGGTTGGACCAGGGCCTTTCTGAGTGGAGTTTGCATGTTCTCCCCGTGTCTGCGTAGGTTTCCTCCGGGTGCTCCGGTTTCCTCTACCACTAAAAATATGTACAATAGGTCTGGCATGTGCCTCCTGTTCTGGCACCCCCACTCCCAAAAAATAACAATTGTAAACCGCTTTGAGACTCCGATGTGCAGTGAAAAGGCGGTATATATAAATAAAGATTACTTACTACAGGGTCTAATACACACAGGGTCTAATACACACAGGGTCTAACACACACAGGGTCTAATACACACAGGGTCTAATACACACAGGGTCTAATACACACAGGGTCTAACACACACAGGGTCTAATACACACAGGGTCTAATACACACAGGGTCTAACACACACAGGGTCTAACACACACAGGGTCTAATACACACAGGGTCTAATACACACAGGGTCTAATACACACAGGGTCTAATACACACAGGGTCTAACACACACAGGGTCTAATACACACAGGGTCTAACACACACAGGGTCTAACACACAGGGTCTAATACACACAGGGTCTAACACACACAGGGTCTAACACACACAGGGTCTAACACACAGGGTCTAATACACACAGGGTCTAATACACAGGGTCTAATACACACAGGGTCTAACACACACAGGGTCTAACACACAGGGTCTAATACACACAGGGTCTAATACACACAGGGTCTAATACACACAGGGTCTAACACACACAGGGTCTAACACACAGGGTCTAATACACACAGGGTCTAACACACACAGGGTCAAACACACACACAGGGTCTAACACACAGGGTCTAATACACACAGGGTCTAATACACACACGATCTAAACACACACAGGGTCTAATACACACACGATCTAAACACACACAGGGTCTAATACACACAGGGTCTAACACACACAGGGTCTAACACACAGGGTCTAATACACACAGGGTCTAACACACACAGGGTCTAATACACACAGGGTCTAACACACACAGGGTCTAACACACAGGGTCTAATACACACAGGGTCTAATACACACAGGGTCTAACACACACAGGGTCTAATACACACAGGGTCTAACACACACAGGGTCTAATACACACAGGGTCTAACACACACACAGGGTCTAACACACACACAGGGTCTAACACACAGGGTCTAACACACAGGGTCTAACACACACAGGGTCTAACACACACAGGGTCTAACACACAGGGTCCAACACACACAGGGTCGAACACACACAGGCTCTAATACACACAGGGTCTAATACACACAGGGTCTAATACACACAGGGTCTAATACACACAGGGTCTAACACACACACACAGGGTCTAATACACACACGATCTAAACACACACAGGGTCTAATACACACAGGTGTAAACACAGGTGCAGCACATCAGGGCAAGACACAGGAAGTAAAACTCACAACGAAATAACTAAAATGATAAAAACCAGATATTAACAGGAAGTACACACCGTAATTAATTCTGATTTTCAGTTGGTTTTTTTGTTGGGGTTTTTTTGCATTATTTTTTTTACCTTATATGTTTTATAATATATGGGAATATGTTTGATGTCATGTGTTTTTATTTAGTAATTTTGATTGGCCAGTAGTTAGGTTCTTTACAACTGGGTGGTCTCAAGTTGCTCAGACGGTTGCTAGGGCAGGCTGGAGTTAAACCAGAAAATCAATGCATCTGATTGGTTAATCCTAATGGCTCATATCTGGATTTACAAAAACTATATCACATTATAAACACCAGGATTTCAAATGTGAGTCAATGGGAGCCAGAGAGAGTTGAAGCCAAACTTTGCCCACAAGCACTTCCCCATGGAGTCTCATTCTCCTCGCCTCCAGGAAGCAGGCGTGAGACCAGGCGGGCTGTGGATGTCTGCAGCTCCTCCATAGTAACCATGGGCCTCGTGTCTGCATCTCTGATCAGTGTTGTTCTGGTTGAAGCTGTGAGGTTGGGCAGACAGCCGAGTCTTGGTAGATTTGCAGTGGTGCCACACTCATTCCCAGAAGGTGGATAAAACAGTGTGAGATGTTCAAAGCTTTAAAAATAAGGCAGACAAAAACTACTCATATCAAGGTACACTTAAAGGTGCTGTGTGTAATTTTTACAGTTGCCCCAAATGAAAAAAACATGCTAACCAATAACAAATGTGACCTTTATAAGAATATTTACCTGAACTTACAAATGTCCAACATGCCAATGCGCCATCTTGGAATACAGTGGCTGATAAGGGACAAAAAGGAGTTTGAGCGGGAGTTGGAGACCTCTGTCAAAGATCACATATTGTCCTGCGAAGCCCCCGTAGAACCGTAAATTACAATATGTAAGGGATAATGTATAGCATACAGTAAACTTCAGATCACTTTTATGAATGCCAAAAGTTTATTTAATGACAAAAAATAAAGTAGTCCCAAAAAGTTTTCCCGTTGCTCGGCAACCGCGGGCAACAGTTAGGCTGGCAACTTCCAAACTAGAACTCTCTGGAACTGCATGAAAACTGAACAAAGAATTCTGAACATCAGCGGTGAGTGACCCAAACATAAACTTAACCTAAATCCATAATTCGATCCTCTGCAAATGTGTCCGAAAATGTGCCGGTATCTTAAAATGTGCCGGTATCTACTTCCGGGTTTTTCGGGATCGCCTTTTCTCGCATTACATCAGTGTTTTTATCATAAAAACGGAAAATTCTGAAAACTTCCGTGCACTTGTATTAAGACTGGATATGTATAAATTACTCTCCGATTAACATTTCATTGCGTTGATTGATTGGCATTTGCGTTTATTGAGCGGCCAGAACTACTTCCGGGTTTTTCACGATCGCTTTTTGACGCAGAGAAATAGTATTTTTGTCATGAAGACAAGACCAGAAAATTCTGAAAAGTTCCGTGCACGTGTGTGAAGAATGTATATGTATAAGTATCCGATTAACATTTAAGTGTGTTGATTGAGCGTGGCTAGCTCCGGAGTGGCCGGAACTACTTGCGGAGTTATCCACGCATTTGAAAGACAAGCAGAGAGTGCGTTGCCATGGGCAGCGGTCATTATTGTTTTGAGAGGTCCGTTATAGAAAATAATGACCGGTAGAACGTTTTGAAATTACATTCAAATCAATGGAGCGTTCTCCTGCTGCTGTGAGGAGCCGTATAATAAATGATCTTAATGCTAGGTGGGAGTAAAACTACAGAGTGGTTACCATAGCAACAAACTGTTTACTGTCAGCAGTTAGCATTAGCATTTCAACAAACTGTTTTTGCTGTGTTTCAGTTATAATCACCAGTTTTTGGACTTAGTAAAAGTGTGTAAAGGTAAAAAATATCAATATTTTCAAATAGTTGCTTTTGATAAGGCTGGTGGAAAACTAAATGTTCTTTGGCGGTAATTTCTCAGAATGTCGTTGATTTTAATGGGAGCAGTCAAAATGGCGGCTTTGGGAGTTTCAGTAGTTTCAGAATTCTGGGATGAGAAAAAAAATGATTAAGGAAAAATGAAAAACTTATACTAATAATCTGTCATATTTTTTCTTTAAGTGAAAAATGGGTAGAAGATACAGGGTGGATGGATAGAGTTCACTTGGTGCAAAATGGCTACACACACACACACGGACACACGGACATACACACACACACAAACACACACACGGACACACACACACATCACACTTCATAATAATCTCTTTATTATGACTGCTCGACATGAAAGACCTGAGGCTCACATTAATAGCTGCTGCTGCTGCGACGGCGGATCCCAGTAATGACCCGTTCACTTCAAACGTCCACACACACACACACACACACACACACACACACACACACACACACACACACACACACACACACACACACACACACACACACACACCTGACAGAGCCACCCCCAGCAGCAGAGGTGTGCAGGCCCCATGCAGGACCAGGTGAGACCGGGACCAGGTGGAGCAGAGCCAGGAGCAGGACATGGCACTTTAAGGAGCTTCGTCCTCATGCGTGAGTACAACTGTCACTGTTTTATGCTAGTGTGTGATGTCTAGAGTCGAAACAATGTCAATATTATCCACATAATTGGACCACAATGGTTCTAACATAGAGTTGACATTCGTTGCGTGGTTGTGTTGAGTTGTATCATTGTTGTTTAGATAAGACTTTGACAATAACAAAATAAACAAAATCTACCGCTGCCCTCCACTACAATACTTTCTTCCCACTTAATTTTGAGCTGACGAATTGTAAATAGAAATTCACTTGTAAACACACATTGATATTGTAGATATAAAACACATGGTGAAACTAGGGACATTATTGCTGCTTGATTGTATAGATATATTTATATATTTGCAAGTACATATGGCAACGTGTATTAAAAAAATCCTGCAAACTAAGGAATGTAGTTATTGTAAAAACGTATTATTCTAAAATGTCTTCTTGAATGAATACAATTAATCAATCAATGAAACTTTAGACTCTTTGGGATGTGGTGATGTCGCACGAACACAACCATTAGCAAGAGCTGCAGTTATTGACGCATTTTGATGTATGACCACAAACATGAGAATATTAATCGGGATATTTTACCTGAAGTGAAAGCAAAATACCTCAGTAAGAATTCCGTTTTTTTTTTTTTTTTAAGAAATAATAAACAAAAAACCGAGGAGTGGGATTTGCGTAAAGCAGTATTTTAGAGGTTTTGAAAAGTCCATAATTTCAGTAACATGGACCTGCACTGCACAAGATGGAGGGTTTTACCTAAAAGGCTCAATTGTGATCTTAATTTCTTCATAACTTAAAGGTGATACGAGATACAGGCTTTATGTAAACTAGAGAAACGATAAGAACAGCCCAGAGTTTATGTAGGCATTAAATGTACACTTCTAATTTGCATATACGATTCAAGATTCAAGAATATATTTGCCATTTGCAGTAAAACCACATTGGAAAAACAGTGTGCAGCAGACAGAGAATGACTTCGTACGGTGGTGGCCATCGTGGATTTGCATGAAATATATATGTTTATTTTTTTACAGACAGACACAGATCACTAACAAACACAAACAGGACTCACACTGTACCGCTCTCGAGGGTCAGGGGTGAAGATGATTGTGTGGCGGGAGATGGAGTGAATATTGTCAACTTAGATAAACCGTGGCGCCTCGAGGGTTGATTTGATTTATGGATTTATTAAAGGGACAGTGCATATTAAAATACATTATACATACATTCTATTGAAGGGAATAAAATTGCACATAAAACAGTCAGATAAAATATTAACAGTCAGATACAATATTGAACTGATGTGCTCTGTCCATTCAAATACATAGATAAATAAATAGATAGAATAATAGAATCTAAAGTGGCTGTGTGTTTCCTGCAGTTGCGGAGGACAGGACCCCGGGAGCCCAGCAGCCGCAGCAGCAGCCGCAGCAGCAGCAGCAGGACTCCCGCAGACACCGTACCGCCTTCAGCCGTTCGCAGGTGTCTCGTCTGGAGCAGGAGTACGCCACAGACAGCTACGTGTCCAGATCCCGCCGCTGTGAGCTGTCCACAGCCCTCAACCTGCCAGAGACTACCATCAAGGTCAAGACCAGTGAGGGACCTGTGAGGGACCTGTGAGGGACCAGTGAGGGATCAGAGAGGGACCAGGGAGGGACCATTGGGACCAGAGAGGGATCAGTGAGACCAATGAGAGACCAGAGAGAGACCAGAGAGAGACCAGAGAGGGACCAGAGAGAGGCTAGAGAGGGACCAGAGAGGGACCAGTAAGAGACCGGTGAGACCAGAGAAGGACCAGTGATGGACCAGTGAGACCAGTGAGACCAGTGTGACCAGTGAGACCCATGACCTCTGGATCATAGTTATTCAATTCAACTCATTTCAGTGTATTTCTGTATAAATCCCAACTCTCGTCATATCGGAGAACTTCACAAAGTTGTAGATTCCGAAACAAGAGATCAGAGAATCAACCGGTTAAAACACACAATCATAACAAAGACACAGAGACATTGGTCCAGAGGGAGCAGGACCACCACTGTCCTGGTGGTCCTGGACCCTCCACAAACCCAGGGTTGAGTATAGAGACCATCAGAGTAGGACCAAGTGGGGCTCCAGATTCACCTCTGGTCGGCAAACATCCACCATTTCCACACAAAAAAATCATTAATACTGAATCAAATTAAAATAGAGGGCTCGTGTATGAGCAACAATGTAATGTAATATATCTAGTCTGCTCCGAATGATGGTAATATTGTGATATCTGTAACTGAATGTTAGTTTCCAGACACAATTTAACAATAAGGATCGTTTGTATCTTTACCAAAAACAGCAGATTACATGATCTGTGTTTGTCTCACATTGGATTGGAGCAAAAGAACCCTTCTTTTCTCTGCAAGAATTAAATGAGGAGATTGGCCGACAAAAAGCGAGGACCTGAATGTTCCATAGTGTCATAGTCCCATAGTCCCATAGTCTCATAGTCCCATAGTCTCATAGTCCCATAGTCCCATAGTCTCATAGTCCCATAGTCCCATAGTCCCATAGTCCCATAGTCTCATAGTCCCATAGTCCCATAGTCTCATAGTCCCATAGTCCCATAGTCTCATAGTCCCATAGTCTCATAGTCCCATAGTCTCATAGTCCCATAGTCCCATAGTCTCATAGTCCCATAGTCCCATAGTCCCATAGTCCCATAGTCTCATAGTCCCATAGTCTCATAGTCCCATAGTCCCATAGTCTCATAGTCCCATAGTCCCATAGTCCCATAGTCTCATAGTCCCATAGTCCAAACCAGTGATGTTTAGGATCATCTAACCATCCCCAGAGGAACTCACTCTGACTTTAGCCTGATGTCAATAATAAAGTGACAGAAGTCTTGCAGAAGGAGGTTGGGAAAAAACAATTAGGCAAAGACAGACGCAGAGAGAAAAGTGGAATTATTTTCTGGACTCAGACTACAGCGAGACTATACCGAGAATATACTCAGACTACAGCGAGACTATACCGAGAATATACTCAGACTACAGCGAGACTATACCGGCAGTAGTTTATAATTATGGAGTGAATCAATGTTGACACGTGAAACGCCTTTGTGCTGTTTAAAAATGTCATTTCACATTTTATAGCAATAGTCTCGGTGTATTCTCGGTATAGTCTCGGTGTAGTCTGAGTATATTCTCGGTATAGTCTCGGTGTAGTCTGAGTATATTCTCGGTATAGTCTCGCTGTAGTTTGAGTATATTCTCGGTATAGTCTCGCTGTAGTCTGAGTATATTCTCGGTATAGTCTCGCTGTAGTCTGAGTATATTCTCGGTATAGTCTCGCTGTAGTCTGAGTATATTCTCGGTATAGTCTCGCTGTAGTCTGAGTATATTCTCGGTATAGTCTCGCTGTAGTCTGAGTATATTCTCGGTATAGTCTCGCTGTAGTCTGAGTATATTCTCAGTAAAGTCTCGCTGTAGTCTGAGTATATTCTCAGTATAGTCTCACTGTAGTCTGAGTATATTCTCGGTATAGTCTCACTGTAGTCTGAGTATATTCAGAATCAGAATGAGAATCAGAATCATTTTTATTGCCACGTAAGTAACAGGAAGTCACAGACTTGGAAATTGCTTTGGCTCAGTGCAACAGTCAGAAAGAGATAAAATAAAGAATAAAAAACACTTCTAAGGAATAAATTTAAGTTTAAAATAGAGTTAGTTACTATTTACAATATACAAGTGCACACGGTGCACACAATGTAAGGTGACAGCAGTACAGTGAAGTAAAGTGACGTATGATGGGCAATAAAGTGACTTTATAAAGGGCGGGGACAGGTTAAGAAGTGTTCAAGAGTCCAACAGCAGAGGGGAAGAAACTGTTCTTGTGGCGGGAGGTTCTAGTCCTGATGGACCGCAGTCTCCTGCCTGAGGGGAGTGGTTGGAATAGTCCATGTGCAGGGTGAGAGGGGAGTGGTTGGAATAGTCCATGTGCAGGTGAGAGGGGAGTGGTTGGAATAGTCCATGTGCAGGTGAGAGGGGTCGGCTGTGATACGACCAGCCCGGCCTCGAGCTCGGGCGACGTACAGGTCCTGCAGCGATGGAAGGCTGCGGCCGATCACTTCCTCTGCAGAGACCACAATGCACTGTAGTCTCTGTTTGTCCCTGACTGTGGCTCCAGCGAACCACACGGTGATGGAGGAGGTGATGGAGGAGGTGATGGAGGAGGTGATGGAGGAGGGGATGGAGGAGGTGATAGAGGAGGTGATGGAGGAGGTGATGAGGAGGTGATGGAGGAGGTGATGGAGGAGGTGATGGAGGAAGTGATGGAGGAGGTGATGGAGGAGGAGATGGAGGAGGTGATGGAGGAGGAGATGGAGGAGGTGATGGAGGAGGTGAGGAGGAGGTGATGAGGAGGTGATGGAGGAGGTGATGGAGGAGGTGATGGAGGAGGTGAGGAGGAGGTGATGAGGAGGTGATGGAGGAGGTGATGGAGGAGGAGATGGAGGAGGTGATGGAGGAGGGGATGGAGGAGGTGATGGAGGAGGTGAGGATGGACTCGATGATGGCCGTGTAGAACTGCAGCTTGGCTTTCCTGAGCTGCCGCAGGAAGTACATCCTCTGCTGGGCCTTTTTGATGAGGGAGCTGATGGTCGGCTCCCACTTGAGGTCCTGGGTGATGGTGGTGCCCAGGAAACGGAAGGACTCCACAGAGGTGATGGGGGAGTCCATCACGGAGGGTGGGGGCGGGGGGACAGTGCTCTTCCTGAAGTCCACAATCATCTCCACTGTCTTCTGGGCGTTCAGCTCCAGGTTGTTAGCACTGCACCAGGACACCAGCCGGTCCACCTCCCTCCTGTAGGAGACACCAGGACACCAGCCGGTCCACCTCCCTCCTGTAGGAGACACCAGGACACCAGCCGGTCCACCTCCCTCCTGTAGGAGACACCAGGACACCAGCCGGTCCACCTCCCTCCTGTAGGAGACACCAGGACACCAGCCGGTCCACCTCCCTCCTGTAGGAGACACCAGGACACCAGCCGGTCCACCTCCCTCCTGTAGGAGACACCAGGACACCAGCCGGTCCACCTCCCTCCTGTAGGAGACACCAGGACACCAGCCGGTCCACCTCCCTCCTGTAGGAGACACCAGGACACCAGCCGGTCCACCTCCCTCCTGTAGGAGACACCAGGACACCAGCCGGTCCACCTCCCTCCTGTAGGAGACACCAGGACACCAGCCGGTCCACCTCCTCCTGTAGGAGACACCAGCCGGTCCACCTCCCTCCTGTGACACCGGGACCCACCGGTCCACCTCCCTCCTGTAGGAGACACCAGGACACCAGCCGGTCCACCTCCCTCCTGTAGGAGACACCAGGCCACCCAGCCGGTCCACCTCCACCTCCTGTAGGAGACACCAGGACACCAGCCGGTCCACCTCCCTCCTGTAGGAGACACCAGGACACCAGCCGGTCCACCTCCCTCCTGTAGGAGACCACACCAGCCGGTCCACTCCCTCTGTGGACACCAGGACACCAGCCGTCCACCTCCCTCCTGTAGGAGACACCAGGACACCAGCCGGTCCACCTCCCTCCTGTAGGACACCAGACACCAGGACCACCAGCCGGTAGGAGACACCAGACACCAGCCTCCCCCCCTCCTGTAGGAGACACCAGGACACCAGCCGGTCCACCTCCCTCCTGTAGGAGACACCAGGACACCAGCCGGTCCACCCTCCTGTAGGAGACACCAGGACACCAGCCGGTCCACCTCCCTCCTGTAGGAGACACCAGGACACCAGCCGGTCCACCTCCCTCCTGTAGGAGACACCAGGACACCAGCCGGTCCACCTCCCTCCTGTAGGAGACACCAGGACACCAGCCGGTCCACCTCCTCCTGTAGGAGACACCAGGACACCAGCCGGTCCACCTCCCTCCTGTAGGCGGACTCATCGTTGTTGGAGATGAGTCCAATGAGGGTGGTGTCGTCCGTGAACTTGATCAGCTTCACGGAGTTGTGGCTGGAGGTGCAGTGGTTGGTGCAGGGCTGGACTGGGACAAAAAAACGGCCCGGGCATTTTTTCCTTCTTAGCGGCCCAGGACACTCAAAAAGTTCAAGGAGCCATATTTGACAAAAAAACTAAAGACAACATCTGTCTGGAGCCGCAAAAAAAACAAAACAGCGTTGTATAAGGCTTATATGAAGGTAACAGGGGCTGAAGCTGTATTAGTACATTAGCTACATTATCTACATTAGCTATATTAGCTACATTAGCTATATTAGCTACATTAGCTACATTAGCTACATTAGCTACATTAGCTACCTTAGCTATATTAGCCTAATATCTAAATGACAAAGTAAAGGCTACAAACACATAAAAACCATTCATGATTATCAGATGTGTATTTTCATTGCAGCGTGTCCTGGAGAGAATGACGCACCACGTGACGACTCTGCTTTAACTTTAACCTTCATGCAATTGTACAAATACAGTAAATAAATCCGAGCTCCGGGTTCACCTGCATCACTGTCTGTTCATATCCATCACAGGCTGAAGTTGCTGGAGCTGAATGTCCTTAATGGCCTTTTCTTTCACCGTCTTTGCGAAGGTATTTGAAGTCTGAAAATAGGTGCTCTGACTTTATGATGAATGAATCTTTCAGTGTTTAAAGCTTCATTGTTCCTTGTGTTGCAACAAAACTTTTCATTACATCACAAACATGAAGCAGTCCTTCCTCATTGACTGAAAGCAAATGTTCATTCTCATTCTTAGGCCCTGTCCACACGAAGTCAAGCTCAGGCCTAAACGCAAAAATACTTTATCAATCCAGTGTATGGTCCATACGAGGCCGGCGTTTTGGGGGGGTGTAAACGAACATTTTTGAAAGTAGGTCCCAGAGTGGAAAGATTTCAAAACTCCGTATATGCCGCTCCGTGGTTACTGCCTCTCCGCAATGTATCTGAGACGCTTGCGTCATCGCCCCGCCTCTTGTTAAAGCACGCATGCGCCGCACTCAGAAAATAATGACAACAACAATGTAGCTTGTTGGTTTTGTAATCCAGTGCGACCCGAAGCAACAGTTCAACCTCATCGTCCGTCCATACTAATGTAGTACCAGCTCGCCCACTCGCCATGTTGTCTGTTTACAACATTCTGCGCATGCCCAGTTCCCGTCACGGAAGTTTGGGCTTGATCCCGTCATTGCGTCACAGCGCCACCAACAGGTCTGGCATAGTTTCACAGCGTTTTCAGGCGTATTGACTACATTCATATGGACGCACACATTTACTGAGCTAACTCCGTATTTACAGAAAACGTTTCTGAAATTATAAGCGTTTTGTCTTCGTGTGGATATAGCCTTAGTCCAGTCTTATCGACTCTCTCTCTTTATCTTTGGGATCCATGCGCACACACAGTTCAAATTGAATATTATTTTTGCAGCATTGAAAAACGTTAATGTTTTTCCTCCTACAGAAACCACATTCAAATATAGCCCTCACACTCCATTTTCAGACATTTTTGAAAAGGCTCCAGGAGCCACTTTAGGGGCACTAAAGGTTGCTGACCCCTGGTTTATACAGTATGTGGAAGCAAATACTGTAGAGGATCAGGATGTCTGCTGTTTCATCAATAAAATAAAGTACAATAGTCTACATTAAACAGAGTAATAAACATGTCTCAGAGTGAGGCAGGTGGGCACAGACAATACTATTGTTTGTTACAATTGGTAAATATTTCAGAACTGCATATTGTCAGCCATTAGCTGGCTCTAAATCTGTTTAATCTGTTCACAACATTTTACTTTTGGGCTCAAACATGAACTTTTAATGCAATGGAAAATGTAGGTACCCGAGCTTTAATTTAGAGGAGAGGGGAGACGCGGACTGTTTCCTGCAGCGGTGTATTTATTGGGTGCACAAATTACAAAAAGACACGCATGGTCCTGTGCACGTTTATGGTCTTGGGTACATGGGCACGTTGCGGCTACGCGCTCACCGTGTTGTGTTGTGAGCGGCTCCCGGTGAGCGGTTCCTGCGTCCAGCTCAGAGCCGCTGGATGCGGGAACACTGCGGCCGCTGAGGTGGTGGAATCCCGTTCGAGTACATACAGCAGGTGCCCCGCGGACACGCGCGCTCCCCTCAAACATTTCTCAACGGATTTACACTTCTCACAAACATGTTTTTTGTATGAGGCAGACAGACCGGCCCAAATATGGGCATCGGCCCTTCGGGCATTGCCCGGTACGCCCGATGGCCAGTCCAGCCCTTGGGAAAGTTCAGTTCGTCAGCTAGCTTGTGGTCGTCAGCACAGGGGGGGCTTTGGGTTTGTAGTTGGTGATCTCCCGTAGGCCCCTCCAGACAGAAGCAGTATCGTTGTTTCCAAACTGCTCCTGTAGTCGTTCTCTGTGCCGGTGTTCTGTGGAGTTGGTCTGCCCGTCGAGATGATCTGGCTCAGCTGTTAATGATGTAATGCAAACCAGCCCATGTGCGTCTCACTGCATCCGAAGCAATCCAAGATGGCGGACATGTAGTCCGCGAATGGCTTTAAAAGTTAAATACGAACGAGTTAAAGGCACACCGCGGACTTTGTGACCTAAAGAGTTGACACATATGAGTTATTTTATATGAATACTTGGGCCAATATACAGCGCTTGACACTTGCAATGCTCCGAGCGGGGCTGCCCTCTTGAAATACCGCCCATGTAAGTTTAGAGCAGACGGACCGTCTGCCACCAGATCACGTGACTTGGGAGAACGATTTGCTTTACGGCAACAGGCGCTGATATACTCGTGGAGCTAAGGCTTTTGCTACTCATTTTCCACCTGCTCGACTCCTGGTCATGGCTGAGGCAAGGAAAAAGTTTAAACCTTCGGAGGAGGCTAAAAAGAGGAAACGTGAAAGGGATCGTGCTCGAGGAAAAACAAGGGTCGATCTAGGAATGGAGTTTGCTCGTTGGCGCAGGTTGAAAGAAGAAGCTGGATGTAAATCTGATTCTGTTTTTTCAACTTCGTTGTTAGACTGGTAAGTGAAGTCTTTGCTCCTAGTATACAGTAAAATGTCTTTGTCATTATTTTCGCTGTTTAGTAGAAGCAAAATACGGGCAGACGAAGCTAACAGGCTACAAACCAAAGCTAACGTGTGTAGCGCTACGTGTGTAAATCTCAGACATTTCGCATATGTAACAGATTCCTACTTTCATAAAACTAACTTGGTTGTGGTAATTCTATACCCCCATGATACTGCTTTGCTGATTCTATTTGCACGTAATTATACTGTGGATGTGTTTGCCTAACTAGGGCTAACAAGCTAACAGGCTGCTATTAGCCCATCTACCGATTCAATGAAATACCAACACTTTTAATTTATAGGCATACTGTATTATTGCACCGGTTTGTTATGGCCCATTTTGCCTGTGCTGTTGGCATTGCTTTCATACAAGGACTTGTCTTTTTGTTTAGTTACGAACGGAGAGGTGTAGCAACATCGACACCATACAAAGGAGAGGGCACAGCAAAACCTGGACCACCAGTATCAAGTCTTACAGACTCTTCGGATCATGACAGGTTTGCACTATGTTTTAGCTGTAGACAGTTTGTGGTACAAATCAAAATATTCATTCAAAGAGGTATAATTATAAGACACTGATGACAATGCTATTGATAAAAATAATTATGCTTTGCACCTGCACAAGCAGATTGTACATAAACTAATAGAACTATAAAGACAAACCAGAGCTTCAGTGATATTATAGCTCAACATTCTTTTCTACTTGTGTAGGGGTAAAGAAATGGTCCTTTCAGGTGTAGAGGAGTTGATCACAGCAAGTGAAAAAGTTGACGTGCTTGAATCAAGGTGAGTCCATTACATAATAATCAATCATTTTGTGAGAAGAATATACTCATGTTTGTTTTTTTTTTATTATTTTTTGCAGTATGCACTCGTTGGCAATTTCTGAAAAACATGATGACGACCTAGAGGCTGCTAATGATTTGCAGAATAGTATGTAAGTGCTTTACATTGTGTGCAAATTACCCTTTTCCTTTTTGTATGTATAAAGCGTGCATTTCAAGACCAATATGTATTTTTCTGTGTAGGATTGAGATGGAGGAAGCTGTTTGCTGGGAAGATGACGACTCTGATGAGGATTATGTTCCTTTCCTCTATCTACGGTATGTGCTGTTCATAAATTACTTATCGTAATTTTCCACTTGTCACAAAATATATAAAGCTGTTTAATGACACTGACTCCTCAATGTTATTGTAACAGATCTACTGGAGCTTCAAGGGCAGAAATTGACAAGCTTCCTGAAATACACATAGATGAGGCTGTGCTGGATGTAGAGGAGGTGCCCATAGTTCCTGAAGAAGATCAACACATTCCTGTAAGACACAAGGTTGAGACTGTAGAGGACCTCGTAGGAAAGGAAGCGAGCATCTGCTACAATGACAACTTGCTCTCTCTTGCAAGGTATATTAATCTCTAAGACCTATAGCTACTATCTTATGCCAGCCTCTCATTTCCTGTTTTACTTTTCAAAGGTACATGCAGTTGCCTGTACAGTTGTGTCAGTTCCGAGATCCTATTTTGGGGACACTATGCAATGGAAGGCCTCCTTTTCATGTGCAATTAAAGCCCAGAGGGACTGGTGTCATTCTTGAATGGGTAAGTGTAAATGCAAGCACCACCATTGTTTAGAGAACGACTTTCGGGGGAGCCTGGAAAAAGGTGTCACCTGATGTGGGGGTGTTGGTAAAGGTTGTGAGAGAATGTATTGAATTGCTAATTGCTTTGTTCGTCTTTACTTAGGTTTGCCCTCACGGACACACTATTTGGCATTGGAATTCTCAGCCACTCCTAAAATTTGGAATGCAAGGAGGCGATTTCATGCTGTCAACAAACATTCTTCTCTCTGGAAACAACTACAAAAAAAATCCATCTCCTTTACAAATTTATGTGTATGGGAATGGTTGCAGAGACTACTTTTTTTGCCATACAGTCTGAATACTGCCTAAAGCCTGTAGAGGAGCATTGGAAAGAGAGTAGAGAGAAGGTGTTGAACAAGCTTCGACAAAAGACTGAAGTAGTTGTACTTGGTAAGTGTCATTTTCATGTTTGCTTGTCAATATGTGTCATTGTTGGGAAGCAGATTACATTGCTATATTTCAGTTGTATCTTTTCTCTTTTATCAGGTGATGGCAGAATGGACTCCCCTGGTATGTGATGCTATACAAAAATATTCCCATGTGGAAAAAAACTCTTGTTACTTACCAAATGTTTATTTGTAGGCCACTGTGCACAATTTTTTACATACACCATGATTGAGCACGAGACCCGTGACATTGTGCACATTGTGAGCGAGGACAAAAGGAGATTTGGCAGGAATTCGGTCATCTTGGAGAAAGTCTGTTTTGAAAGTACAATGGACTGCCTTCTCAACGAAATCCCTATAAAAGAAGTAGTGACGGATGCTCATGTACAAATATCTGCCTTGCTCGGTAAGTATATTTCACACTCAATCAAACTTCTCATCCAAAAATAATTTAACTTAGGAAAATATATTATCTTCAGATCCAGTACGTGGAAAATACAAGGATTGGAGTTTAACCCATTCGCTGGATGTCTGGCATGCTTCCAAAAATCTTGGAAGGAAGCTACGCGAAGTAAGTCAAATTGCCACAATTACCACTGTTATTTGTTGAATGATTTAATCTCAAATAGGAAAAGACCTTTGGTACAAAGTCATTCTCATAAATGTATTTTGTTATCAGGCAGCAAAAGGCAAGGAACATTCTGTGTTGATGCATTGGGTAAAGGATATAGTGAACCATTTCTGGTATTGCTGTCAGCGTGCAAGTACTGTAGAGCAGTTTAAGGTACGTGAATAACAAGAGATACTCAAAGTGTGTGCCATTTTCAATTGTTATCTATCAATGCTTTTATTTTACAGATACTGTGGCATGGAGTACTACATCATGTACGCAATGAACACACATGGGCCACAGGGTTCTGTGAGCATGAGCCATTGGATGACAGCAGTCAAGATAAGCCGTGGATACAGCAAGGTAACATGGAGCATTTTGTTTCACTCATTTAGAACATTTTATTTTGTAAAACTTCATGTTGAAATACAGTAGCTGTATCATAACTTCCTTGTCTTGCAGGTTCTGCTGCTCATCAGACCCTGACTGCTATTGTTTTGAATAAACGCTGGCTTAAAAATGTGAAAAAGTACATAACATTCAGGTATGTTTGTGCAGTTTATCTATTTTTTTCTCTATCCTTTTGTTGCTTTGGATAATGTAAATGCCACAATGTAATGCTTTGGATAATGTTAATGGCATAGACCACCACTAATTTCAATCTAATTTTTACAGAACTACGTCAGATTTGGAGAGTTTTCAGAACCATATTCTGATGTATGCAGGGAAGCGCTTTGCCTATAAGTATAAAGTGTACAGAACCAGGGTTTTCCTTGCTGCAATAGATTACAACTACCACAATGGTCGAGAACATAGACGCAACAGAAAAGGAGAAAAAATGTATGTATTTTTACTGTACACAATTTTAAATTTATTGTTTGGAGGGTAATACTATGTGGTATTCTGTGTTTTACAGTTACAGACGGTACTACAATAAGAAGTCAAAAAACTGGAGTGTGCATGTTACAAAGGAGGCCAAGACGTATGCCTACATTCCCGACCTTCAGAAGGCAATTCTTAGGAGAAGATTAGAGAGTGGGTCAGGCCTTCCTCGAAGAAGAACCCTTTCAGAAGATGACCCTGAGCGCCTTGGACTGGTTGGCACAGCGGACACACCACCCCCACTGCTGAACTTGTGGCAAGACACACTTCCCGGGGAGCAATGGCTCTACTAATGGAAGACTAGGACATTTTGTTTTGTAACTGTTTTTGTTCATTCTTTATTTGAATAAAATGTATGATAAGTTTTATGCTGTGCATAATATTTTCTACTTACAAAAATGTAAACAATTGTAAAATCTTGTTGAACTACAAAAGAAATACAACACGTATTTTAATATGTACACATTTTTATTGATATTAATAAGTCATGGAAGCCGGCGCACTCTAAAACCTGTGTATTGTCCATTAGTGTCTGGATACTTGGTCCTAATGCGCCACACAACACAGCTTGGTATGACCACCCTATTGCCCTCCCCTAATCGCCCATGTTGCCAGAGCACAAAATTCCTATAAGCTGCATGTCTGTATGAGCGCTGCTCTTCACCTGGTTCCTGGCTGTCATCGACTGCAAAGATGTCATTCCACGCAGCACGAGCAAGACGCAGAACTCCCTCATCCAGGATATAGAAGTCCATGTGTACATTTGTACTAATGCAGTCGTCTGGAGGCTGACTACAGCAGAGTCTCTCAATATCTGTAGGCATGTCTCTACAGTTTGTACACACACACCAGTGCATGCGCCCAGGTACAGGAGGTGATTGAGGAGTGTCCTGCAGTGCAAGGAGATCAAAAAGCAGTCCAGGCAATCTGTCTAGCACTAATTGGAGCAGGGCATCTCTTTGGTTTGCTTCAAGTGATTGTAGTCTGGCCTAAGATGCATAAAACACATTTGTCAACATAGTAGTCTATAAATTACAGTATAAATAATAAATTGATAAGTGTACACATACCTGCATATCAGCTCTCCTCTTCTGTTGAAGATCCTCGAGCCTTTCATAGTCAGCTGTAGATGGTCTGCTGCTGCTTCTTCTTCCTCCTCGTCCTCTCTCCATCCCGCTCCCCCCGCCTCTCCCTCGTTGTCCTCCGCTTCCACCGCGTCCACCTCGTCCTCCCCCGCGTCCACCTCGTCCTCCCCCGCGTCCACCTCGTCCTCCGCCGCGCCCACCTCGGCCCCCTCGTCCTCTCCATGTTTCGGGAGGGGATTCGGAAGATTCATCAGGCGGTGAATAAATTGATGATGATGATGACTGAAAATAAAACAAACATCAGCATAAAAATTGATAATGTACTTACTGCGAAGTCGTGTAACAATCGCAAAATACTGTCGTTATTTGTAAGCTTCGGTTTGTCCTTTTACACGTTCATGTATGTTTATTATTAGTGGATTATACGATTTTAGATAGAAATATGTATGCATTATTAGAGGCTTATTATGATTTTATATACAAATTCATAGTTTACTACAGGACAAACACAAAAAAAGACGACGTAAGTCCGATCTACAGATAAAATAAATCCAAAACAACACAATAAGAACTTGGTTTTAGGTATAAAACAGCTCTACGACTTACCTGATCAGACATGGTTTTCTGTTCACTTTTGTGCAATTTCTTTATTCAGCGGATGTCTTCTTTTCTTCAATCGTGAACACTCTTCAACCAACAGGTAGTGGACCTGTTGATGTCTGAATACACACTCAAGACACCGGCAAGACACTGTTTGTTGACTTTTGCGACAGTGCTGAGTTGCTTGTGGCCACTAGGGGCGCTAAACGTGAAAGTTGCAGGTCTAGCGCCCCTAGTGGCCAAGAGTTACACGGTGTGCCTTTAAGACACGAATGTCACTTTTAATGCAATTTGAGGCGAGATGTTGATGGTTCCGCGTTGTGATATGTGTGTTTTAAGAGTAAGAGTTTCGTGTAAAGTTTGTTTTAAGCAGTCCACTGCTCCTGTGAAACTACACTGCAGCTGTGTGATCGCAGTCCCTGAGTTGGTTGCTGCATACGTCAGGCCCATGACGCGTCTGTGACTGGTCTGTCGGGTTGATAATGGAAATAATAAATTAAATTTTATGCATGTATCATACTGTATTCAATATGATTAACAATAGTGTGGCGGACTACATGTCCGCTGGTTTGCATTACATCATTAAAACCTCTTTACACCAACCGGCGCGCCGGCGTGCCGTTTTTATGTTTTTAAATGTTCTGCTGGCAATAGCAGATGTATTTTGAACACCAAACCCCAGAAGCTGTATATCATTTTAAAGCTTATTTTCTTATCTACATTTATATACAAGTGTAAACTACATGCATGCATGTATGCTTGCATTCAAAAGATATAACACATAATGTGGGCACAAAATAAATCAATTCCGAAATAGTTTTTTACCTTTGGGCTTGTGCTGTACAAATAAATCAGCTCTCCTCCCAGCTTGCAATACATCATTCTCTCTGGAACAGTCCAAAGGAAAATTATATCCACTTGTATTTCCCAAAGTAAAATCCATTCTGCAGAAATAATCCAAAAATGTGCATTTATCTTTAGCAAAAAAAACAAAAAAAACGAGCACAGATGTTGCTTTTTCACTTTTAACGGACTTTTAGCTTTGTTTTTCACCCGAACATCTGGTATCTACGTGTTCCTTAGCTCGTTATCTTTCAAATGAGACTACTCCCGAAAAGCTAGACCAATTTTTGGGTCTGCAAGAGCTCCCGTGAGTACAGCTAGCGCTGCTGTTTGCGCATGGATCACTGATCTTTGTTGTCTTCCCTTCTTGTTTGCTTCTATTTCCGGGATTTTCGATTGATGAAGAAAGAGACTCCTCTATGTCAATTTATGTTTTAATGACAGAGATGAGGAAGCCCTGCAATAAACAAACATAGTAGCATAAGCTAACACTATCGCTTATAAATACATGTACAAAATACAGTGGCTTGAAACAAATGTAAATATAGAAAACATAACTTACATAAAACAAGAACAGCACGCTAGGGTTAGCATTAGGAGGGTAAAACTTTCAATCCTGCGGACCCTCGACTCACTCGCTGATCTCAACCAAACCGCTAGCGGCCTCTAGTGGTAAACTCTTCATCCCCCCCAGTCCGTAAAGCTATTAAAATATAATAGATAAACTGACTCAATCTTGTATCCAACGGCCCGACTCAGGCTCATAACGCTTGGGAGGCCTACGGGGGCGGCCCGGAGGCGAGGGCGGCAACACGTGGGACGGCGACATGGGGGGCAACATAGCGGGGGCAACAACCGCAGGATCGGGGCCATCATCCACTGGCGAAGCATCCGGAACAGAGACACAAGGTCCAGCCACCTCTGGAGCGACCGCCTGTGAGACCGCAGGGTCTGGGAGGATCGGGCGGGGCCGCTGATCCAAAACCACGGGGTGGCGGCGAGCACACAGCAGTCTCCAACCGGGAACAAGGGGTAGCCGGGGTGAAGGCGCAGCCTCCGTCCTGGACCTACAGACAGTCCTGGATCTACACCTCAGTCAGTCCTGGGTCTACAGCCTCCCGTCCTGGACCTACAGTCAGTTCCCTGGATCTACAGCCTTTAGAAGCGGCTCTCTTCCCAAATATGGTCCTCCTCAGGTTCTCACATTTTCCCAATGTTTTTTTTATTAGTGAAAAATTCTCTGAACTTTGTGTTGCCGATCCTCTGGGAAAACTTTGTAAAGTCTCAGAGATACACTATACTGTTGTAAAATAAATCAAGCGTTTTGCGGGTTGCATCGTCCAACTATTACACAGTCATGAGCTGCTAAATCTGTTGTTGGCTTGTGACAATGACAATAAACACTTGAATACAAAGTAGGGAAAAGCGCCGCGAGGGTGGACACTTTTCCGGCAGACAGAGAAACTCTACGTGACTGGTTTCTCTCCAGGCGTCGGTAACAAAGGCCCCCTGAGCACAAACCTTTTGATTAGATTGGCGTACAGATCTCTCGCAGATTAACTTGGCTATTCTGAGCCGCTTGTGTGCCCCAGAGATTCCTCTCCGACAGCGCCCAGCAACAAAAGCATCGTCTCCTTTTTCATTTCGTTGTCGTTATTAAAGCCGAGGGGATGTAACGCGGATCAGGTCTGTGCCGCTGTATATGTCGCTGCTGCTCAAAATCAGCCTAGATCCTCTGAGCTATGAAGTGGCTTTTTGCTCCAAGCTACAATTTTACACACAAAAACTACTGCATTGAGAAAAGGTCAGAAAAAACAGGAAAAGAGAAGAGTGATTAGAGCGTGTGTGAAGTTTGACTGAGCGAGAAAGTTACAGAGAAAAAGAACTTCAATATATAATTACTATTTTGTAAAGATTTCTTGATGTTTCAAAGTTCATGTTTCTAAAGACTTTGTAACATGGGCTGGGTCCGTTGTCTATTGCCAGTGGGAGGGACCTCTGTTTAGACTGCTAGGGGAGTCTGTAGTCCCATTCCCACTGAGCAACAACACCTGTTTATCTCACAAAAAATCAGAGTCTCCCTCTTCCTTACGGGGCCTTGCTTGGGCGTTTAACCGCTTGTATGATCTAGTGGGAGAATTGGCTTGTGGACATGGGACAAAAGACATAACATTTAATTAACCAATTTTCAGGGTGAAATTCAGGTGTCTGCGAGTAGCAGTAGAGACACATCCATCATGCAAACAACAAATGAAATACATAAAAGTAGTAACAATGGTAATGAGTTCGGGCCATTTTCTCTGTTCTGGTCTGGATCAGTGCAAAAACCATGAACACTGTACTGCAGAGAAGTAAAACATTTACAGGTAGAAAAAAGCAAGAAGAAAACATATCAATTGTAAAAAACACAAAACAACTACTGCTTCAGAGCTCAGGACTCGTTCTGTTTCCAGCGCATTTAAAAGTATATTACCAGACATGTCCAATATGGTGCTACTAAATAGAGGTCAAACAGTTTTTTAATGGATAGACGAGCGAAAAGGAAGTGAGGAAAAAGAGATTAATATTAATCAACCAGTATTTTAGGTAAGCTGAAAAAGGGATTACTACACAATGTATTATCACCAAAGCTACAATTTACACACAAAAAACCTACTGCATCTGAAGAAAAGGATCAGAAAAAAAAACAGAAAGAGAAGAGTGATTAGAGCCGTGTGAGTTTGCGTGAGAGAAAAAGTTACAGAGAAAAAAAGAACTTCGAATATGTATTACTATTTGTAAAGATTTCTTGATGTTCAAAGTTTCTGATTACTAAAGATCTTTGTAAACATGGGCTGGGTCCGGTGTCTTTGCCAGTGGAGGGACCTCTGTTTAGACTGCAGGGAGGTCCTGTAGTCCCATTCCCCACTGAGCAACACCACATGTTTATCTCACAAAAAATCCTGAGTCTCCTCTTCCTTACGGGGCTTGGCGTATTAAACCCGCCTTGTGATCTAGTGGGGAGAATGGCTCGTGGAATGGGACAAAGACCTAACATTTAATTCAACCAATTTTCAGGTGAAATTCAGGTG